CCTTGTATTAGATCTTATTGTGGGGATAACTACATCTCAACTGCCAAACCACTGAGAATCCTGGTTGAGTTGAAACAAAACCTTAACCATCACAGGAGCCCTGGGACACAGTGGGTTAAGCATTGAGCTATTAACTGCAAGGTCAGCCATTTAAACCTGCATCACATCATGGAAGAAAGATGTCTGTCTGTTCCTGTAAGATTTAGATTATCATAAACCTAGGAAGCAGTTCTAGTCTGTATTTAGGGTTATTGTAAGTCGGAGTCAATTCAATGGCAATGGGATATGTATAATTCTAGTTCCATTTTATAATTTGGAGGTCAGGCGAATTTAATAATTTGTAGGCACATTTTGGCAATGTTTCTTTTTGCAGGCAACTCCTGGAGGACAGAGGGACAGGCGTAACTTGAAAGAGATACATCATTCCATGTAAGAGTCTGTTTAATGAAGTGTCTATCGATCTAAAGGAGTCCTGGTGTGGCGCTGTAAAGTAAGCAGTCGACCACAAGGTCGGTTTGAACCACAAGGTCAGCGGTTCAAACTCCTCGGAAACCCTATACAGAATCACTATGAGTCAGAACTGACTTGACGGGACTTCACAACAATAATTGTTCTAAAAGATACAGAAGTAAAGTAGGATTGCTTTTTTCCCTTTTCTTCAACACTACATTCGAGTGTTTCAGCATTTCCTGAGCCCCTAATCGGAAATAATAATAAACAAAATAAAACCTACTAAACTAGATGTTATAGGTGACACAAAATTATTTTCTTAAAAAAATGTATGATGAATCGAGTGAAGGTTTACAGTGCAGACATTAGTTTTACATTCAACAAATCATACACTTTGTTCCATCTCAGAGATAGCAAGTACCTCCTTCTAACATCACTTATCTCACTTCCTTCCTGTGAATCTGGTTTCCACACCACCCTCCTTCTCAGCCCTTCAGAAACTTTGTCCTTAGGTAAATGCTGCTCTTACTTATTAGTGAGTTGTCTTCCCAATATGACCTTTATACCGCTTGGTTGAAAACTGAACCTTAGGAAAATTCTTGTTTTAAAGGAGATCACAGAGGGGTCCCACTTGGTGATTCTTCGAGGACCCTTGGAGACGTGGTCCACTTACTTAGGGAAGGGGCGGGCGGTCGAAAGGGCAGATCTTTGAGCCACATCTCCCGGTGCACGTCGGTAGCGCGGCGCGGGCCCCTACCACTTCCGGTTGCCATGGAGACCCGTGCCCTAGACGGGCCGAAGCGGAGGGAAGGGCTGAGCCGACCTCCCCGCGCCAGAGCCCGTCCGCCTGCGGCCTGCGCCCTCCGCCCCTATCCGCTGCGGCGTAGGCGAGGTCCCAAGACGCGCCCTCCCTTCGGAGCCACAGCGAACGGAGCAGCGGAGGTTGCCACCCCCCGGCCCCCCGAACACAACTGGTGGGAGTGGCTGCATTTGAACCAAACGGCCTTCGCGCCGGGGCGCCTGGGGGCACTATTCCCCACTGAGCTCGGGTGCCCGAAGTGCAGCGACCGCCGCGTCTCTGTCCCCGAGTCCCGGAAACATCCGCTTTCTGAGGTAGGATTCGTGGGAGCCGGTGCAGGGGCGGACAGCTGTAGGGCGCAGTCTGGAGCATTTGGGGAGTTACGCCCCCTGTCTGGCCCTCCATCAGTCTCCCGTCTTTGGTGGGGCGACCTTCTGGATAGCCCGCTTCCGTTTTTGAGTTAGTGGAAGTTTCTTTGTGGCAAGTCTTGCTTAAAGTGTGGGATGCTTGAGTCAGCCCCTAAATGCCACCTTCTCCTAGTGGTTAAAGCCGCCACGACTGTGAACCTCTAAGTGCATGCTGCTGTAGAATCAGCTCCAGACTGCCAATCACAAGGTCGGTGGTTCAAACCCACAGCAGCTGCTTGGAAACGCTGTACAGGGTCGCTCTGAGTCTGAACCGACTCGATGGCACTTCACAACAACAAGGGTATGCTGCAGAAATGGCGATTTACTGGGCAAACCTTTTGTTTTCACAGAGACGATGCTTAAGAATCAAGGAAAAGCATTCCCTGGAACATCTGAGTTTTAATTGAAGTATAAGTTACTGACGACAATCGAGGGACAAACATGTTTAACTCCTCCAGTGAACTGGAGTTTTCGAACCAAACAAGTTCGGAGGAAATCGCCCAGCTCGCTTCCCTGGAGTTGCCGTCCAGAGGAAAAAGCTCCACGTGTTTAGCCGAAAAACCTGGCTACCCCGATTCCATCTACGTTATGGCAGCGAACATTTTTCAGGGCATTCGAATCGAAAAGTCACCAGAGAAGGTCTTAATCAAGTATGGGAATGAACCTCTACCGGCCTCCGAGCCTGAGGATGAAACCTTCCAGCGTTTATCCTATGAACTGGCGTTCAGTGCCCTAAAGTGTGAGTAGTACCAGCCTTTAAAGATCAGTATGAAAAGAAAATGAGAGAATTTGTGGGGTGTGACCCCGAACCCCATACACACGTTTTTGTTTTATGTACATATCTTTAGTTAATTACAAATATCAGAGGGTTAGGAAAATTCCAGGGATTGTCAGGAGGGGCCAGTCATGGAGAAGGATACCTTGTTGGTAAGGTGGAGGGTCAGAGAAAAAGAGATAGACCACCAACGAGATGGATTGGCCATCGATGGACTCAGGCATGGCAACAGTAGTGAGGTTGGCCCAGGACCTTGGCAGTGTTTTGTTCTGCTGTGCATAAGGTCCCTATGGGTCGGTACCAACTCGATGGTACCTAACACCAGCAACAAGCTCTTTTAGGCCAGAACTGCTTATAGCCTGGAGTTGTTTGTGCTCAACACTGTGCCTTGTCTTTCAGTTGTTTGTAATTTTGTTTTTCTTTTTTCATGTTTCATTGTGAATTATATGATATTTTACATGAGAGAACTTTAGTTTTACATTCATTCCATCGTATATTGTCTCATTGCCATGGTTCCAATCCCCTCCATGCAGTTGTGTGTAATTTTTATCATTAAATTGAACAAGGAATCAATTCAAATCCTTGTGAGAACAGAATTCATGCGAAAGTACCCGATTATAGTTTCCTTCTCATAAAGATTTAGAGTCCTGGTGTGGCGCTGTGGGTTAATGGAGTGTATTACAAAGCCAGTTTGAACCACAAGGTGGGCTGTTTAAGCTCACCAGCCGCTCATGGGAAACCCTATACAGGGTCTTTTCTGTTTTATGTACATATCTTTAGTTAATTACAAATATCAGAGGGTTAGGAAAGTTCCAGGGATTGTTAGGAGGGGCCAGTCATGGAGAAGGATACCATGTTGGTAAGGTGGAGGGTCAGAGAAAAAGAGATAGACCACCAACGATGTGTCAGAACCCACACAGTGGCATACCACCACCACCACCAACAATGCCTATCATTAAATTGAACAAAGAATCAGTTCGATTGCTTGTGAGAACCGAATTCATTCAGAAGTACCTGATGTACATGTACCACCATGTAATTTCATTCTTTTATAGCTTGCATTTTAGAAATGGTTATGAACTTTCATGTTTTAAAATATCAGTAGAAGGCAAGAGAAGAAACAGAGATGGAATCAAAAGACACGGTGCAACATTAAAAAAAATAAACACCAAAATTAAAGCAGCCAAATTAAGATGATCCCATTCATAACCCTGGTATGGGTGCTGTAGAATAAGCAGTAGACTGGTAACTATCAGGTTAGCAGTTCGAACCTACCAGCCTCTATCAGAAACCTAGGACAGGGTCACTCTGAGTTGGAACTGACTCAATGGCACACAACAACAGTAATGAAAATTCATAGCCAAATAATGTTCATAGCTTTAATTTTGGGAACGTGTCATTTTGTTCCTCCAAACTGTTGTAGAATTTTCCTTTTTCTGATTTGCCCCTGAGTTTGAGGTGAATGTTTCAGATTCCCTCAATCAGGGTTAATTATCAACTTGTGTGGACTGAGTGTAAGGAAGAACTCACAATTATCACTATGAGGAGCTGTGGCATCCCTGGGGATCGTCGGAGGCCTGTGGACTACACACAGTGACACTATCAGAGGGAGTGACACCAAAATGCCTGTCTAAAGCATTTTTGTACAGGGTTTCAGCAGAAATCGATTATTTTTCAGATAAAAGTAGCCCTGTGGTTAGTTACAACAACCCAAAACTTACATATAAGCCCAGTTTACATGTCTCGATATATCTAAAAGGGTAAACATCTATGCAAATTACATTTTGTATGTGCTCTGGTAAGGACTGCCATGATTACTCAATTACAGTGATGCTTCAAATCACGTGGTAGTATCTGCGCGTTCTACAGGCGTGCCTTGTGATGTCTCCGTTACTGACAGTACTGGGTGTTTTCTGGTTTTATCAAATTTTCTGGTGTTTTAACTATAATATTGTGGTTATTCGTAATTTGTAAACCTATACCAGTAACATTTTGGGAATGAAGTAGTAATTAAAAGAAAGAAGGAAAATAAAAAAGGTGGTATCTGCTCAGTTACTGATAATACTGTAACTAATAATGTTATCATTCAATATGGAAAGATTTTGCAAAACAATTTTATTCTTGGTATGCATATAATCTAGCAAATATTACTTTTAAGTAAGTTATAACTTTGTTACATATTATTTTATGATGAAAATGGGTTGTTGTTCAGGGCCGTTGAGTCGATTCTGACTCATAGTGACTCAGTATAGGGCCTCCAAGTGTCAGGGACAGATTAGGACCCCTGGGCCTTTCCTGCATTGGCTTCGTGTCCTCCACTTTGCCCTGGGCCCTGGGCCTTCCCTTACTAGGTGGGGATCAGAAGAAGGGGGAGACATCTCTAGTCCAACCAAAATGGCTAAACACCTAACCACAAAGACCCCAGATACCCTCTACAGTTTATGATGTAGGCACACAAGCACAGAAAGACCAAAATCATGTCCTTAAATGACGTATAGTGTATAAGGGGTCTTTGGAATATCTTTACCATATGTTACCTCCCATGCATACAGTTAAAAACCTGGGAAATCCAGAAAACAAGCGTTCCTAGGCCTGCTTAGTAACAAGGCTTACTTGGTCAGACCGAACCACCCAGACCACTCACTTGGGCAGAGCCCACCGGTGGAGAAGACTCCACGCCCCTATAAGTCAGCACACCCCAAACCCTCGAGTCTTCTCCACTCATGGAAGGAGACCCACTTCTTTATTTGAATTGTACTTTCGCTTTGCAATAAACTGCATTCATTTGAGTGAAGGCTAATTGTACGTGTGTAACTAACTGAGAAACAGTGACTCGGTGACACTTGATTCCTCAGACTCCTGACAGAACGTGACACAGAGCAGCTGGTGGGTTTGAACTACCAGCCTTGTGACTAG